AGGCCCTATTATTATCCTGATTCTATAGATAAGAGAGCCAAGGCACAGCGAACCCAAATGATTTGGCTAATAAGTAACAAAGCCAAGACTGGAACTCCAGACAAGCTGACTTGAGGTCCCTGCTCTGAACCGATACAATTTATCATACTCTATTACACTAGGTCATAACTTTATGCTGTTATGATCCAAATATGTATCTTGATAGCTAACTCAGGGCAGAAGAACACACACTTCTATATTGGAGAGAGGTTTCATGCTTTTTTAGTGCATTACAACGTTATAGATGAAAATGACAAAGACCCATATTTCCCAAAATGTCTATATGTAAATTTGCAACAGTAATTTTACATTAATGTAGGTTTTGCATTTAAAAGAGAATTTAACTTTGATGTTTAACAGACAAATTGACAAATTACATTAAGACATTAAATCTGTAAGTCATTGTTAAAAACCAGTTCACTTGTTTTGAGCAAAGAAAACCTTCCAGTCTTTGATACATGTTCTTACAAACATAAAAATAAAATTCATTTCCTCAACTGTCCTTTTCCATTTTACACATATTAATCTTTCCACCTATTTTAAATAATCATGAAATTAATAGGAACCGGATTTTTTGTTTGTTTTGTTTTTTGAGACAGAGTCTCACTCTGTTGCCAGTCTGGAGTGCAGTGGCGCAATCTCGGCTCACTGCAACCTCTGCCTCCTGGGTTCAGGCAATTCTCTTGCCTCAGGCTCCTGAGTAGCTAGGACTACAGGCATGTGCCACTATGCCCAGCTAATTTTTTGTATTTTAGTAGAGACGAGGTGTCACTCTATTGGCCACGATGGTCTTCATCTCCTAACTTGTGATCCACCCACCCTGGCCTCCCAAAGTGCTGGGACTATAGGCGTGAGCCACCGTGCATGGCCAGAAACAGTTTTTAATAAATCCAACTCATAGGTCTTTCATGTCAAACTATTTTGGGGAATTCTGAGGTGAAAAAGCTGCTTAAGTATTAGGAAAAACTAACAACAACAAGAAACAGCTTTAGAAGAGAAACTGAAGGATGATGAAGAACTAAGAAGCAACTGTGGAAAGGCCTTTCCAGGCTGGGCTTGGGTACTCTAATGGGCAGGATTCTGAAGTGGGGTGGGACCAAGGGCAGAGCCCAGGCAAAATAAAACAAAAGGGAGAAACAACATCAAGGACTATGGAACCAACACGCTAGCTGTGAATCAATCAAAAAAACATATGTGGTGAAATAATTCAGGCCTGCATGTGAATTCTAACAGCCTTTTTAACATGTGACACTAGGCAAAAGTTTTTTATATTTTCGAAACTTTGTAATTTATAAAATGGGGCTGGGCAGTATGGTTCACACCTGTAATCTCAGCATTTGGGGAGGCCAAGATGAGAGATTGCTTGAGCCCTATGAACTGATTGTGCCACTGCACTCCAGCCTTGGCAATGGAGTGAGACCCCATCTCCAAATAATCAATAATAAAATAAAATAGGCCATGATATTTATTGAATTGAATTGCGGAAAAGACTCAATGGTACAACATCATGCACTCCCCAGCACACAGTCCAGCACTGTGAGTGCTGAAGAAATAAATACCCCCAAGCACCACCACCAGCCCACCAGACACAAAGCAGCTGAGCAAAGGGAAGCACACTGGCAGACCCCTTCACAGGCAGGCTGGGTAGCCCTGAAAGTCACACCAAATTTTCTTCATAATTTACAGTTATTTTGAGATGTTTCTGATCTTAGTTATTTTGTAAACCAGTAACCTCAATTTTTTAAAAAACAATTCGTTGTCAAGGAAAAAATAAAGCCATTTCAAAGCATGTTTTCCATCACACCAATCAACCACAAACCCATGTTACACATGTACTGTGGGAAATACTACTTGATAAGTTCATTGTGGTAGTATTAAATAAGTTATTAGGATAATTAAAACTGGATAAACATATTAAAAACGGTTGTTTTGGAATGTACTACATTTTTCTGGCTATTTGGTATATGTATTATTATTTTTTAAGATATAAATGACCATGTCTGTTTACATAATAAATTTTCTATCATATTAGATGAAACTATAACTTTCCAGGATTGTCAGAGAACACAACTTGTGAGAAATCTACTTTACAAATAGTTTTTTAAACTAAAAAATGTCTTCAATTACTATGAATACCATTGTGTTTGAAAAGATTTTAGCATCTTATAACTTATTTAATTCAACACTTTATTGGTCACTACTGACCTAACTTTGATACTTTCAGATTTAAGAAGTTTGTAAAACAACTGTGCCACACACAGCATAATATTCAAACGCCCATGAACTGCGTCATGCAGACAGGTGCGCCACCCAGAGGCAAAAGAAAGAAACCCACCTAGGATTTTATTTGTGAGACAAAACTGACAATCAGTTTTAAACAATTATTTACGATTATGTATTTGAAAACACAGGACATCTTTCATAAGGTTCTCTCTGCATAAGTAAATCCTTTTAGTGGTAAGATACATAAAAGTGTGGCCCTTTGAGAATTCTCACAAAACAGAAAGAAGCCCTGAAATGGTACCATTCGCAGGTACCCACTTTGTTAATTAAAAAATTGAATTTAACTGTGTTCTCTACAGTAAATGCTTTCTTTTCTGCTATAATTAATATAACATGTGTTTCCAAAATTATATAAGTTCTTGAACAACCACTATGATCTATTTAGACATGTGAACCAAAAGTTAAACTAATTACCAGAGACATTTCTTACTTAAATGAAAAAAGTTTCTTTCATTAGGTCTTCTGCTTAATTTTCTTCTGGCAAAGGAATAAAGTTTACTTAGAATAATTCTGTTTGGCAGACAGACAGGGCTTCTAAAATACATACAAATAATTGTTAAGGTTAAAGAAAACAGTCAACTCTATTAAACTCACATAAAAATTAAAGCTTCTAATAGTCTAAACAATGGGCTGATTTTAAAATAGAGATTTATGATATCCTCATTTTGTCTTAGAAGTCTGAATGTTAGGATTAATGTTAGTATTGGACCATCTTTTAAGATTTATGTATTTCACTATGAACTCCAAAAGACAATGGGCCTTAATTAAAAACATCATATGCATTAAAATGTAAAAACAAGTTTAAGCACAAAATTTGAAAATTCTTTTGTCTTTACTATAAAATAATATTTCTTAAAATGATGTGTGAAATAATTTTTTTCAGGTTCTCTAACACTATATAATACACTCTTATTTCATCTCATTTTATTGTTTCATTTCCACACCAACACACCTTAGAACAGAAAGATAATTTGAAACTCACCTATTTACATGACTTTCTAAAAAACTCATTCTAAGGAACATTGTTTACTGCTAACTTACTTGTTTTTATAAAATGAGAAGGATCTATAGTTGATGATTATTTCCAAGTAAATGTTTTTTCCTGCAAAATATTAGCAAAAGGCTTCTTTAAAGTAGAGTATTGTTAAGTAAACTTTTCTCTTTTGCTTCTTTCATTGAGGGAGTTCATTATCATCTGTGAGAGTTAATTCTCTTTTCTACACCCCATAAAACTCCATACACCCTGAGTAGCAGTGCTTACACCCTGCTACACAGATGTCCTCTCTACACTGCTAAAATCACAATGACTTACAGACTACTGACTAGGACGGTATGGTTATTATTTAATATAAGAGTTCAATGATTTTTAAAGCTCAAAGTAAGTACTGGGAAATACATACTGTACTACAAACTCTTTAAATAGGCCCCAAAAGTTAAAAAGGTTTAAATGCATTCTAAAGCAACACAAAAGCTTGGGATGTAAGCTAGGGATGCATTCTAGCTTACATCCCAACAAACAAGCTTTTTTTGTGCTTTAGATAAATAAGTTTTTTTTTGGTGCTTTAGACTGCATCCCTAGCTTGCTTCTTACATATAAGCTAGGGATATCAAAAGGTCTGTGAATCCGCACCAGACCTTCAAAGAATAAAAGAAATGCAGAAAGGACAGCTACTTGATAGTTAATAAATGATTCAAGTTCATTAATAAGTATTTAAAATTTAAAGGGTGAATTCTGAAACACTCCCTATACCTCTAATTGGTTAAGAAAACCTAGTGATAAAATGAAATGCCTTAAAATTTCTTGAATCTTTTCTATTCCTTTCTTTCCATCCCCAATTCTACTGGCTTAGTTCTTATCATTTAAAAAAATCTGTGTTAGTTTAAATACTTCCTAATTTTTCTGTCTACAGGCCAATCTCCCATTCTATCCTACCTTCACATTTTCAAATCCATCTTCCAAATGCAGTCCAGAATAATCTCTGTGAAGCATAAATCAATCACATCACTTGCCTGCTTGGTATCCCAAATTAATTTAAGAATCCATGTGTCCCTATCCATAATCTCCCTCAACTGGCAGAAGTCTTCCTAAGGGAGGAAGGCCAGGGATTGGCCACAACCTGTCCCCCAAACCCAGGGTCTATAAGGAGGAAGCAGTAGCTAGTGGCTCTGTGGGCCTTTCTGTTCTAGCTTGACTCAAATTTAAATTGCACTGGGAGAAATTAAAGTAACTCCTTATCAAGAAATGTCTGGACTCCTTTTCTACCTTATGGGTAAAGTCTTTCACAAAAACATCCTAACTACTAAAACAACTATTTTCAAACATTTAAAAATGATTAGTATCACTTTCTTCAAACTATATTTAATGCGGAACCCAAACAAAAAATGGTTATAATAGTATCTGGAGGTTGACAGCACAGGCAGAGGTTATATTATAGAGGCCATAGAATAAAATTAAAATTTGGCTGGCACAATGCAATCAATGTAAAGTATGAGGGGAGAAGAGGCAGGGATGTGAAACCTGATTTATGTTTTTCATTTTGCTTGCTATGTGTAAGAAAGTTGAAACTACTGAGAAATTCAACACTTCTGATATATTTTTTAAATCTTAGTAGTGCCTTTAAAGAGTAATATGCCATTTCCAATTAATGAGCAATCACAATAAAGGAGTCACAGAATACCTGATCCTCGCTGGTTAATCCCAAGTGCATCACAAGGTAAAAATGCACCAGGAAATCTGAGTTTGGCAGAACGTCCTGGCGTCTGGTCATCATGGCACAGATTAGCCTGTAGGCTTGCAGTTTGCCTTCCTTATATTCATTTGGCAGTGTTGCTGCCTGTCAAGGAGATGAAGTTTCCAGATTAAATCAAGCCCAGGTGCAGAGGATTTCAACATTTCATTTACTTCTCAGTTTTCCTTAAGAGTTGTTTATGGACACATGGGATGCAGTGGCTTTAGTAAGACCCAGACTGTCTTCAAAACATGCAGTCTTGGGCAATTACGTTTTTCAAACTCAATTTCGGGAAGGAAGAGGAAATTGCAATAAAGGAATACACACATAACCACTTGCCTTAAAAAGCCATGATGCAAACATTCTGAGTGGTGGAATCAAAACTGGAGGAGATGGAGAAGACTGGTTATCCAGGCTTATTGCTAGATTATCCCGTATCTAATTCACAAAGAGGAGAATTTCAGGGTAGGTAATATTACTTTTATCCCAACAGTATCTCAATATTGTCTTCCATGATCAAATAGCTGTTTCCAGCTAAATTTCTATAAGTTAAGTGACAACCCGTAATATTTACAAGTTTTTCTTTTATCATGTGATTATCCTTTTGAATTGTGTGTTTGGCTTACTGTATGTGGTTTTAGATTTAAATACCAAACAAAGGCATTGTTTTTCCTTAAATGTTAATGGCTGGGGAGGTCCTGAATTTCAAACGATAAGTAATGTTTTAATGAGTTATACTAAACAAACATGAATCATGTTTTTGAAAAAAAAATTTAATAACATAAGAATATCAGAACCCAAACAAAAATCAGAATAAAAATTCTATGTACTACTTAGGAGGCTGAGGCAGGAGAACTCCTTGAACCCAGGAGGCGGAGGTTGCAGTGAGCTGAGATCGCGCCATTGCATTCCAGCCTGAGTGACAGAGCAAGACTCCGTCCCAAAAAAAAATAAAATAAAATAAAACAAACGGTATGTTCTTTAAGATTCTACTTTTGTAAAAAGAAAGAAGACTATATATTAATATTGACTATTTCTTTTTTTTTCCCCAGATGATCTTGTTGCAAATACTGGCTATTTCTATGAATAGTGATGTGAATTTTCTTCTTTGTATTTTTCTACATTTTTCAAATTTTGTACAGTATAATCAGTGTCACCTTTATAAGGAGAATAACTAGAACTACTTAACACCTTATATTTAATATCCTATAGCAATATTCTACTTTGCACTAAGTAACTTTTACATTTATAAACTATTCATGTTATATATGATTATTCTTTGATAATCGAATGTACTTTGTCTAAACATACAATTTGTGTTTCAGAATATGTTCAGTAGTTAACTGTAACACAATTTTTACATTAAATGATAAAACCATTTTCCTAGATTAGAATAAAAAGTAACATAGTAAGACTTACCTTTGCTAGTTTGTACCAGAGTTCATAGAGATAGCAGAAAACTCTGGCATGAATCTTGGGTGACTGAATGTTATTCACATCTCCAAGGATCCCCAAAACTCTTCGCCATAACACAGCAGCAGAATCCGGGTGCCAACCAGTGAGGCTCCCCCCGGCAATTATACTACAGTCATCTGCAAGGCACTCGCTGCTATCTATGCAGAAAAACATGTCTGTTAACCCTGTAAACAATCTTGATTTCATCATACCTTTTTTCTTTGATGCAAATTACCTATTTTTAAAATTTTATGTATGAAGCAAAATAATTAAGGTAAAAACGTGAAACAGCTGAGAATTTAAAAGGAGAGAAAACCAGGTTCAATGAAGAAAGGTCAAATGGTTTCCGATTCTTCAAACTAAAAGAGCAACAATCTAAGAGATGACATAACAGTTTCTGGAGACCCTGTGATGGGTTTTATAAATGGGGAGAGAGGAAGAGGGAGATCTTTGAACAGCATAGGTGGGAAACAGTGCAATGGAAATGGGTGGCCAGGGAAGCCTCAGTGCCAGAGTAACATCCCCCCAGTGGTGGTTGTTGTTAGGTTGGGTTTTGGGAATAAAATGTGCATACAAGACATTTTCATCCCTTTCAGGTTTAAGGAGTTTTAAGGAATGTATACATTCATGTAACTGTTGCCATAAATTGCCACCAGAATTGAGATACAGAAGAGTCCCATCACTCCAAAAACTGCCCCTTCAAAACTGGTCCTCTTCCTCTATTCTCAGTCTCTTACAACCACTGCTTTGTTTCCTGTTCCTATAGTTTTGCCTTTTCCAGAATGTCTCAAGAATGAAATCCTACAGTTTGTAGTCTTTCTATCTGGTTTCTTTCACTCAGAAAAAGGCATTTGAGATTCATCCATACAGTTGTGGGTATCAGTTGTCTCTGCTTATTGTTGATTAATATTCTGTTTTATAGATGTATCATAGTTTATCCATTCACCTGTTGATATTTAAATTGGTTCCTGCTTTTGGCAATTACGAATACAGTTGCCATAAACATTCATGTAAAAGTTTTTCTGTTAACGTATGTCTACATTTCTCTTCAGCAAATATCTAGGAGTGAGATTCCTGGATCCAATCATAACTGTATGCTTAATTAACATTAAACTGAAGAAAGAAACTGTCAAACTGTTTTCCAAAGTGCTATGATGGTCTGCAGTCCCTCGAGTAAAGTATGAGAATTCCATTTGCTCTATTGCCTTGCTAGAACTTGATACTGTCAATTTTTAAAATTTTAACCATTCTTATAGGCATGGAGCAGTATGTAACTGAGGTTTTTGTTTGCAGCTTCTTCAATGACTAAAGATTTTAAGCATGCAGTGACATGTGACTCAAACCTGAAGATGATGCACAAATGGGCTGTGTGGGGAAGAGCCAGTCAGGGAGAAGAGCTAGAGCAAAGGCTATGAGAGGAGACTGTGCTAATTAAGTTCAAGGCACAGCATGTCTTTGTAATATACATTTAATTAAGAAATATGAAGTTTTGTGCATTAAAACAAAGTTAATGAATAATTTGATGATTTACATATACATCTAATTTTATCATTTAAGTTGTAGAATTTTGTCCTTTGGATGCCTGTTGCTTTAGGATGAGTAAAGGCTGGGGAAGACTGAGTTGATTAAGTCTCTACCTTCCTAAAATCATAAGCCTTTGGATTTTTAGAGTAAACGAAAAAGCAGCCAAAGACGCAAACGCACTACTTAAAGAATGCTGTGTTATGACAAAAACATTTATCTCATAAAATGTATGTAATAATCAACAGAGGCAAGTATTTTAACTGCACGTCGTATTTTCTCACTCTACATGCTTTTGACTTCCTTGCAGCACTTAACACTTCTTCCTCATGCCCCTTTTCCACAATTCTGTCTCTAGTTGCTTCCAGGACCAAGCACATTCCTCTCATCTCCCACAGCTCGGTTTTTAAATTCTGGTTTCCACATCTACAACCTGCAACGTTTACACAAAGTTCAGTCTCTGTTCTCATGTGTCATAGCCTCGGCCCCCATGTGTTCTATACCTCTTCTCCGCTGGCATGGTGATTGAGTAAGCCACCAAAACTTCCATGTTGTTTAACGCAGTGCTCAATGTCCAGTCCTCAGCAGCATTTCACTCAGGTACTCATGTCTCCTTTCTGAAATGCTTCAACCATTGGACCCCCAGGTATGACACTTACCTGGCCGTCTTCTTTCGCTGGTGCTTCTTCGGCTCACAGACGGTGGACACTGAAGGGCCCTGCAGCTTTTGTTTTCTCTATCTATACTCATGCCCTTCTTAATCTCATACGGACTTACTGTATGAGATTTTTAATACAGATATTGAAATTAATATTTTATTATAGATATTTAAATTTAAATTTAAAATATTTAAATGCTACATATATACTGACAGCTCAGCATGCCCATTTCTGGCCTGGATTTCTTTCCTTAAGTTTCAACTCATTTCTCCAGCAACATAGTTGACAGCTCTGCATGCTCAGGACTGAATTAAAGCAGAGTCCACAGCAGGGATGGCCTTTGGTCAGTTTCACTGTATTCCTGAAGAAGCTCAGACATATGTATGTTGAGTTTTCTTTTTTCCCCTGGAATTCAAAAGGCTCTCTTCTGCTCAAAGAGTATGTAAACTCTCATTTAATCCCTTTGACTTCAAGACAGCATTTCTGCACTCAGACATGTTGGTGACTCCAAGCCAGAACTGCCCCCACTAATTTACTTTCACCATTTTCTAGGATGAAAAAGCAGCCGCCCATGGCAACAGAGCTCTAACTAGTTCTTAAACAGACTTCCAAATGGTCTTCCTGTTTCTAGCCCATCATCACCTACTCCTGTAGCTACCTTTTAAGGAAAATTTTCTAACCCTTTTAGAGAACCAGCATTAGTTAAAGTCGGGTTGTTTCTTGGCTTTCCCTACTACTGACATAGAATTTAATATTCTCAGGTCTGCCAGTTCATTTACCAGAGGCCACCTGTTCTGCAACTTCAAGAAGTTGGTTGCTACTGTCCTTCTCCTGCCATCTTTGTCCCTGTGGATTTATGCCTTAATTAATATAAATCATTTCAATGTGGTTTAGGTAGGGTTTGAAGAATAAGCTAGGCTATTTGTGTTTGTTCACTCTACTGTCTTTAACTGGATATGCATTATTATAATTTGTAATGTCTTTGTCACTCATTTATCTTGCTTATTTTTTAAAGCCACTTGTTTTTCTTATTTTGTAATTTTTGTTGTTGCCTTTAATGCATTTATTTTATATTTCATAATTTTCCCCTGAATTAGTTTTTTTAAAAAATAAAATTTATTTTTTAAGAACAACTTTGGATTTAAAAAATTGTGACAATAATATAGAGTTCCCATATACTCCATATCTAATGCCTCCACTATTTACCTCTTACATTCTACTGGAATATTTATTACAATTGACAAACCAATACTAAAAGATTATTATAAAGTCTACACTTCATTGAGATTTTCTTAGTTTCTACCTAATTCTTTTTTCTATTCCTGGATCTCACCCAGGATACCACATAAGAAATAGCTGTCAGGTCTCCGTAGCCTCCTTTTGACTGAGTTTTCTTAGAACTTCCTTTTTTTTTTTTTGATGACCTTCATGGTTTTAAGGAGCACTGCTTTATAGGCTGTTCCTCAATTGGGCTCTATTTGGTATCTTTCTCACAGATTTTTCTTTCGTATTTGCATTCCTGGAATGAACTTCTCTTAGCCCTGATGTGTGATATTTTTCCAATATTCTTCAATTTCATTTGTTAATGCTTTATTTAGAATTTTTTGCTTATATGTTTATAAGTGAGATGGCCTCCAATTATGTTTTTTCATACTGACCTTGTCTGGTTTGTTATCAAGGTAACACAAAGTAGATAACAGAAGTGAGTTTCTTTCTCTTTTACAGAATGGAATGAAAAAGATAAAGTTTCTCTTTCATGTGAAGGTTTAGTAAAGCTAGAAATTATCCTTTATTTTTATAGATCTATTTGAATAGCATACCGTGTTATTTCTAAAGTTTATACTGGTTTTGTAGTTATTCCCTTTTCACCTCCTACATTTCTTTCTTGATGAATCTTACCTGTTTATCTATTTTTATTAATGTTTTTAAAGAACAATTTTTAGTTGTCTTCTATTATTTGCTTTCTAGTACATGCATGTATGCTCTCAGTTTTATTAGTTCCTTTTTAAACATCTATGTTATTGTTATTCTTTTCCTAATTTTTGAATAGAACATGTTATGTTAATTTATTATTCCCAAAGTTCTCTTCTTCACCCTGTACAAGTAAAGCCAAACTGATTTCTAGGCAATTATCAACCCCCACTGGGTGTTATCTTGAGTGTATATGTTGTTGGCATTTTTAAGGCCTAATTAAAGAAGCCAAAGCACAATTTCTGGATCTGAGGAACTCAAGTAGAGGAATGACAAGGGCAACAACAGGCAAGAAAGAATGAATCTGAAAAGGAGCCAGGGCAGATCCAAAAATGGCTGCTCATTACAATATGCTATGCTTATGAAATTGGTGATGGAAAGATCCCAAGAAATGAAAACAAAAGATGTAATAATGATGGCACATGGTGTCACGGAAAGGCCTTCCCAAACGCAGAAGCACTGTTCCTTCTCAGAGGAAAACATATCTGTATTTCCGACAAGAGTATCATATACTCAACTCAGGAGACACATTAAAATGTGCAGATATAATTCAAACTGGAATTCCCACACACTGTGCCTGAAAGGCAGAGTGTAAAAAGCCTACTTATGGGCCTTCTGGGTTCTCTGACTTTTATAAAGCCTTGGAAGAGAGACTTATCCTCCTAACTCTATAAAGTAAGTACAGTATCAAGCATCTGTGAGTCTGAGAAGGTATGCTGAAAAATTAATAAATGCTTATGAATCAACATGAGCCCCCAAGTGAACAAGTGGCATAATATGGCATTTATTTTTCTCATAAAGTATGCCATGGCATTTTCAATCCCTTGAGGAGAAAAAAATGTAAGGGGATTAGATAATTTGCAGCTTTGTTTCATCCCTAACTTTCACTGCAAAAATGTAGCTATCCAAAATAGATTGGTCCCCAGCATCCCAAACACAGTGGAGCTTTGCTTGAGTAACCACTCCAAGTACATGCAGGCAGGTACCTCACCGCTTGCACCTCTTGC